ATCAATGCCCGTAGTGGTTCACGGGTTATGCGGGTCAAGGCGTCATGTATCACGGTTGGCGTCATGTATCACGGTTTTGCGGTCTTAAACCGCAAAAGGAGAACATTTCTTCGACTTGGTTGATCGGCTCGTGCGATTTTGAATGAGTTGTGGTTCCAAACAAGATTTTTTCGATTCCGAAGAAGGTATCTTCGATTTTGTCTTAGAGTTTTGAGATTTGCAGTTATAAATTTAGTTTCAAAAAACATATGATCTTGAAGATGAATGTTATGATCTCTAAGACTAGAGATTCCTGTTTCAGGTTTTCTTTTTAAAGATTTTTAAAGAAGTTGAATTAATTGGAAAAGAAGGGAATGTTAATCCGGTCTTTCCTATCACCTCTGTTTCATATTACACAAAATTTTGAGAATATTTTTACAAACTTCATTTTAATATTAGGAATTTGTTTTGTTAACAACATTTATTTAATTAATTAGAACAGTTCATCAATCCAAAATAATGGTACATAACTTAAATAATATCGTATACGTGTAAAGTACAGCGCTTCGTACTAAACTGTATGTGTAATTTGAAATGTGTAAAATGAAAAAGAAGGAAACAAGAAACCAAATCGTAACTCCTAAAAAACTTATTCTAGAGTGAGAGGGAAACCAATTCTCTAGTGTGGACACCATCTTCACCGGTTCAGATCAGTTTGTTGCAAAGGCAACAATTGTTTTCTGGTATACAATTAGGCATGTAACCCATAAATTAAAATGATTTTAAGTTGGAGTATAGTGGTGAGAGACTTCTTTGTAATTTTCTAGCGTCTCCATACCTGATTCATCCTCTTAATCTTGAAAGCATAACCAACACATGCCTGAAATGATATTGGATTTGTTCCAAGAGTTGTTGATATAAGAATGGAATCACACCAAACTTATGGTCGCATCTGTTCATTTCTTTGTTTTACTAAAACCATTTTCCATCCATTAATCTTGCCCAGAGACTTGAAAATTTGTTAAGAACGTCATGATTTTGGTCTCACAGAAGCTCCTACTAAATTAGAAAACTCAAAGGCAAATACCACATGATTAAGTCTATGGTCAACCCTACAGTCTATAGCCCAAACCAAGACCTTAAGCTTAGCATCCTTAACACATGTCTACTTTTGCTATGCAGGATGACCTTTCCACCGGCATCTCTCAGGATCCGTGCAGCACCAACTAGTTGATTATGTTTGCACCATGTATAGGTTCTAACTTATAAACACGATTTCTAGACTTCTAGTATATATATATACTATTTGCTAAAAGTATATTTGTTACTAGTTGCATTCTATTATAATACATATGAAAACAACAACACAAATATATATCAGATGAATGATGTCTATAATATTTTGCATCGGACAGATTCATTCTCGGCTAAGTATGCTTGGATCGCTTTTATATATGAGTTGTCTCCTTGTTACTACATATGATCGTAAAACGAAAATAGTAGTCTCCTTCTCACTACGTTTTCCATTTGAAATTAGAGTCATTTTCAAAAATACCATATTTTAAAGTTTTTGTTCCAAAAATCCTCTATATATTAATAGAAAAGACACTAGGTGACAATCCTAGGTGTCATCCAAAAAGGATTTTAAGAAACTTTTAATGAAAGCTATTAAAACTTCTTAATGATATTATTGTGTAAATAATTAGACTAAATTTATATCATATATCCTCTATATATTAATAGAGGAGATATTAGGTGACAATCATATGTGTCATCCAAAGAGGATTTTAAGGAATTTTTAATGAAAGTTATTAAAACTTCTTAATGATATTATTGTGTAAATAATTAGCTAAATTTACATCAT